TGTTACTATGGCTAGCTTCACCAGTGCTGACAGTAATTATAATCATACATACAAAAACAAGAAGTTATAAGCATTGAAGGAATTCATATAAATTTGGCATGCCAAGAAAGTAGAATTAGAATATTTAGCTGACATTTGACTTTGTGCAAGGTGTTTGGTATTCAAATTGCACTTTCCCTACCTCCTTAACAGGCATCTTAGGCTAAGGGGCTGTTTACATGCTGGAATGTGGGATGATTTTGATGTATTGAAATACGTCCATAGGCTAAACGAAAGTCCAAATGCTGGTTAACAAAACTCAAATGTTGTAGAGCAGATCTTGTAGTTCAAGAAGATTATTATTGCTGCTTGAACAACCTTTCAGTTTACAGATACTATTGCTATCTCTCGAAAATAATGAAGTTTTTTGCTGAAGTGTACACCGTGACTTATTTAAATACATCTAAATCATCCCGCCTCATATATCATCCTGGCAAAGCGGGATCATAAAAACAGCACCTTATTCAGCAAATTGTGCATGCTGCCTTTGACCCCTTGGGGGTGAGGCAGCACTTTCCTTGCGATAGTAACTTCTAGTTGGAAAAATTATTCGACGTGCATTCCACCATCTTGGATATGCATATGCATACGTCACAAGTAGGGTAAAAGCGAAATTTTTATCTTGCAAACCACATGTCATTATCAATATAAAACTTGATTTTCCGAAGTCTTTTTAGTACTCAATTAACTCACAACATTTAAAAAACTTTTCGAAGAAATTTAGTCCCACATGAAGACGTTTTAGCAAGTTAATTACCCTGCTTGTGACGTCATCAAGAACTCAGTTAAGTAGGTCAATTATAATACCAAGATGGCGGACTTCAAACTGTTTTTGGTCAAAATATTTCGAAAACCAAGCAAGGTACGAAAAAGTTGTAAAGGATCTTCATATATATAACTTTAAAAGTTCTTTCAAATAAGACAAAGTTAATTTTATTGCCATATCCTTTTAAATTAGGTAAAGTTGTTATTATGTGTTAAATGGTTATCTAAAATCACAAAAACACGTATATTATATAAAATAGGCCCCCAAAAATGCCACTTACTCTAAATTGTACTGGAGTTACTGGAGAGCACCGATCATCCCTTTTTGTATAGATGCCCCAAACTGGCGAATTCTGGCTCTATATTTGTCTTAAAATTATCATAAGAACAACTGTACACTGTTTTATTTAATTTACCTTGTAGAAAGCCTGTTCTGTAGAAAGCATCATAACTTTGTCCACGTTGTTTAATCTTCCAAAGCGGTGGTGGTAACGAAGCGATGTATACTTCACATTCTAATCCGTCTTGTTGCAAGCTTTCTCTCGCTGTAATAAATACTGCTACTACCTGGCCGTTGACGACACAAATCGCACAATTGGAAGAAATTCATGTGTAACTCGACGACGATGATTTAGACGGTCTCTCGTATATTCGATACTAGAGACCTTACGATTTTAGGACGGCAACGCGACGGCAACGGCTACCAATACAATAGATCATCATCATTGAAAAGAATTGAAAAATCACAATATATGAATAATTTAGACATTGTCCTCGCTCTGTCTACAACGCCAAATCACAGATTTTCACGTCTTGATACAACGGCTGCATTTCAAGCCGCAACAAGTGCAACTTCAAACTGGGTTCAGGAGAACTCTTCCCAACCATAAAATTCATGCCTTCAACTCCTAAAACTGTGTTAAATTCATAATGTATACGACGAATTATCTTTACTACTATTTATTTGGTGTTTGTTTTGGCCGTCGTCGTCGCGTTGCCGTCCTAAAATCGTAAGGTCTCTACAGTTGGATACGTTGCAACCATTTCAGCAAGCATCTCGTTGTCGTGACGTTTTAAGCTGTGAGACTATACAAACACCGAAGCGAAATGGCAGAATTTACGTGTGTTCACACTGCGCCGTTACTGTTTGATGAATATATATATAGTTGACCTGCATGCGAGTTCGAAAACATACGAAATCATCAACGAGTTTCAACATAGTTAATAGAATAGATGGTTTGGAAATTCATTAGAATAACATCATAATTCATTATCTATGTTAATCAACGTTTGTTCATAAATATGGTCCTTCACCGTCACATGTGTATTGTATTCTTGCCAAATCCACCAATAGCAATTTTCAATTTACCCTATTGTTCGAGAGGATATGTAACTTTCCTAAAGCATTGCTATTGATTAGTTGGGCAAAAATACAATACGCACGTGAACGACCAGATTTATGAATAAACGTTGACTAACATAGATGAGTTATATTGTTATTCTAATGAGTTTCCAGACCATCTATTCTATTAACTATATGGTTTCAACGAGTCAAAACTCACGTAAAATAGATAGCTGATCGCTATTGGTTGTCGCTTCTCGATTCGTCTGCTACCGTAAAATACTGCGTTGTTATTGGTTGTTACTTTCTAAGGATGTATGCTGAATAAATTACAACTCGAAATTCACATGCATGCTTTGTGAATCTGCATTGTTGCTCTGTCAGTAAAAGATCGATTAAACCTAATATGCGACCGAAGCCATGCACAGTTTTAGCTTTCGTGAGAACTTTCGAAGAGGAAAGTAACTTTCCAGATAGCTGAAGGATTACTTTAAACAAGTTACATACAGCGTGTCCCAAAAAAAACCAAAACTATTAAAATAACGACTACACAACTTTTGCCCAAAACTGTCGCATGCAACCTGCTTACAACTTTGAGTTGTACTGTGTAAATCAAGCACACAACTCACCTACGACAACGTAAGCGAGTTGTTTGCTTGACTTACACTGTACAACTCAAGTTGTAAGCAGGTTCCATGCGACAGTTTCAAACTAAAAAGTCGCGAAGTGTAAATCGGCCTGATGTATAGTGAACATGTGGGACTGACTACATGGAGAGTTTTCAGCCCGGGCTGAAATTTCAGCATGGCTTTTAAGGATAAAATTCTATTGGCAATTCCAGCTTTCAATTTATGCGCGCGCAGGGTGTGACGGGAAGTAAGGTATCATATTGCTGATTATCCTGAAAATAAGTATAATATAGGAAATTGCTAGATAGTATACTTCAAAATATAAGGTTTCCGTTTTTAGGCTATATAACAACTTTGTGGGTTAGGTTAGGGTTAGGTCAGGGTTGGGGTTGGGGTTAGGGTTAAGGTTAGTATTAGGGCTTAGTTTTGCGTTAGGGTGGTTTCTCCTACGTTATAAAAACGGAAACCTTATTTTGAAGTATACTATCTAGCAATTAATTGTTTTTGTTTGTGAAAACACCACGTAAATTTATTATAAAGTAATAAATTTACGTGGTGTTTCCACAAACAAAAACAATTATATTTTATCGCCATGCAAACATTCAAAGAACTTATCTAGCAATTACCGTATAATCAACCTCGTACCCAGGATCTTTCTTTGGGAAAGACCCTGGCTGCGGCTGGTCACGTGCCTCATCAAAAATTTAGCGCCTGAGGGGGTGTGGGGAAAGTATCAAATTACATAAACATGCTTCCAGCGGAATATTCGTTAAAAACATAAATTTTGCGAATTATTATGTTCAAAATACTTGCTAATTTTTGTTTATTTTCTTTGCTTTGAATTTACAAGAACATTCTTACATTCTTACTTACAGTCAAGTCAAGAAACAAAGCAAATCGTTACTCGCAGTACGTGCTCTCTCGTGTTGTTGTTCAATGCATGCTCTCTTCACAATCGAGCGCGGTTATAACAAACCTTTTAATATTGTAATGTTTTTAAAATACGCCATTACTTTCGTCCTTTCTTGTAAACGTTGATACGCTTTGTACCGATTCACTTGTTACTACGCGTCTTGTTTATAAGATTTTTGAAAGAAACAGTATTGTCTAGGACTGACCCAATATTAGCAAAAACAAATGTAAACATTTGATAATAGCCGAACTGAACAGAGAAATGTCTATAAGTATAGAGGAAATTTCAGTCATTGGTTTTGATCTGGATTTAGTACATAATTCGTATTCGGTAATTATAGTAAGACTTTAGCCTTTTTTGGTCTCTATTAACTATAATCTATATCACAAATTTACAGTGTCAGATGCGCACAGACCGTCATTGGCATCATACGAATAGACTACTAACATTTTTAAAGTTTTCATTGTGAATCACCTGTTCATCTCTAATTCATTAATCATTTACTACTTATATGTATTTGATAGTGTCATATAGTGAATAATGCGTTTACACACAAGCAATCCTGGATATGATATAGACGATGCAAGCTGTCCATTAAAAAATAACGGTATTCTATTTCACAAAGTCAAAGCAAAAATTTAAATCTCACTTGTATTATTAAGAATGCATATACAACAAAAAATTAAAGCTTATTCATGTCAAAACGAAAGCTGTTTACAAAATTCATAAAGGTGGTGAACACTACTACACAGTGCTCATTGAAAGACATGTATAATATAGTGACATATAATTTGTCGTTTGACTTATCTTTGGTGTATGATTTTAATACCGTAGATTTTCAACAGACAGCTATACTTTGACATATACCATGATGATCGTTGGCTTCAGCAATACCAAGGGCCAATTTTATAGTGTTCTGACGGCTTTAAGTTTTTTTGATAAGGCCTTTATATAGATCAACAATGAACAATCTGGATACAGTTGGCGATATTTCGGAAATCAAAAGATCTCGCTATTTCGTTGCAATTCCACATCTCATCAATAAATAAATTCTTTTGTCCGAGTATCAGGATAGACATTAATACTAAATAAATAACAGCCACACTGTTCGGTCTAGAGATCTATATTTTCTTGTAGGTTTAATATCGCCACGCTGCACAAGCGGCAAGCGTGTTTTCTTTGGCAAGTCTATAAGATGAATATTGAAATCTGATCCAACTTGCTTGAATTGTAACTCGACACCAGATTATAGAGTAGAGCGTCACGATATAAATATTAATTTAAGAGTTCTCTTTACGATTTCTTGTTGCAAATTTACAGTAAATTTCATCACCCAAAGTTGCAATTTTAAAACGCTACAAACACGCTCCTTTCCCACCCCTCTCACAGTTACAATTAAATTTACCTCCCAGAATCTGGGAGGCACGTGACCAGCCGCAGCCAGGGTCTCTCCCAGATGACAGAAGGAGAGATCCTGGGAACGAGGTTGCCGTATAATATAAGCTATCACTCCAAGCAATTATCTAGCAATTACCGTATAATATAAGCTATCGCGCCATTTTTATTTTTTCAGCATAATGAGCAATATGATACCTTACTATCCTCCGCTGCACGCATAAACTAAAAGCGGAGAATCACAGAAAATCTTTTTCCCAGGAGTGTGCCACGAAATTGCTTTTCTTAGTAGCGGAAAACCGTATTGTATGCAATTTATATCGTATATATGCAATTTATCCTCATTATGACGTCACATTGAGATCTTGCTATATCGTTCATCGAAATCGTAAAACCGTGCATATGTGTTACGTGAACATTCTACCGGGTGTCCCAAAAAAAAGTACTCCGGTTTGATTCTTAATAACTTCTAAATAAGTAAAGCTATCAAACAGAAATAACTTGCATTAAATAGAGGAAGGACTAACTTAAATTTTGATATGTTACAGTTGTATTTTACTTAAAAATTCACGGAGATATTAATGTTCAAAGTCGGGAGCATATTTTGGGATGTGTCTAAAATTAGCGAAAAACGGCATATCAAATATTAACTCCAGCGTTTGTTTCCTTAATGACATATCAGGCTAACTTGTATTTCAGCGAATTGTCGTTAGGGTTTATAAAGGCCCATTTACACGATACGATTAGTTGTATACGATTGTCATTCTGACGAATGAAAACGAGTGCTAATGCCACGTTATTGCTCATTCGCTAATGGCGAAATTTGAAATGTGACGTTTGTACGCGTGTTTATTCGATCACATACGCCAGGGTACGAATCGTATACAACTAATCGTACCGTGTAAATGGGCCTTAAGGGATATGGCGTAGATTTGGACATCTTACATGTAAGTCTTAGCTCATTGTTTCCTGAAATATGAACGTTCGAAATTATGCGTGTATTTAATAATAGGTCTTTACAAACTTAAAGGTACATGCATGAAAGACCATGCGAGGCAGGCGCTTAAATTTTTTTTAAATAGCCTAAATTTTTTATGTTTTTCATGGGTTCAAAACAAAGTTGATTATTTCTCGGTTAGAGCAGGATAAATATTATTATTTAATGAATTAGGAAATAATATTGCTTTTTGCAAATACACATCACAGAATCAACGCTACTATTTTGTTACGTTTTGTTCCAAAAACGTTGGATGTCTCTGGGGAGTTGCTTGTTATGTCTTATGAAGTTGTATGGTTTGATTGTGTTTCATTCTCAGTTTATTCTAAACTTGCCAAGATTAAGAAAAGGCAAAAGAGTTTGGGTGTTCTTAACAAGATTTCAAAACGTTGCAGAAGTTAGAAGAGCTTCACATTCCATTGTGACAGCATGTCCATACGAACGATCCATGACGATCCTTTGCGATGCAGTGGTCTCATGAAATAACGTATTGGTGCTAGGAACACACGCGGATTTCGGACGAATAAATCTTGCTTGTATTTTGTATATAATAATTACTTTGTTTCATAATAAACAATTTGTCAAGTGTCATTTATTTACTGGTAATAGTGCATGTTTTAGTCGGGGAAATCTTGATTAATACGTCGTCGATTAATACGCCGTTTTTTGCATATTTCAGACACATCCAGAAATATGCTCCCGATTTTAAACATTAATATCTCCGTTAATTTTTAAGTGAAATACAACTGTAATATATCAAAATCTAAGCTAGTCCTTCCTCTATATGATGCAAGTTATTTCTCTTTAAAAGCTTTACTTGTTTAGAAGTTATTACGAATCAAACCGGAGTACTTTTTTTTGGGACACCCGGTATACAAATATATATTATATGTCGACAGATTCGAATCAGTTATCAATAAGAGTTATAATTTAAATTTCACAAAGACTTTATGCAATTTAACGTCATGGTTAAGAGAACTTGCGCATCGAACATTCTTGAATATCTCAAGGAAGAAACAAGCCAAGATAGTTTTGCCAAAGTATTTTACTTTAGTCATTTCGAATTTTCTCTACAATTCAATCATAAATCTGATGAAACGACAAGCAAATCATCCAGGCATGTTTTAAACTGTGGGGCATATGGGAAAGGTGGAGTGATATAAATTTGATCAAATTATGGGGTGCTATGCCTTGTGTGTCGTTTGATTATTGCAAGTAATTGTTACAAGTATTTTCCGTTGATTTTTTTATTGAGGGTTTCCATAAAAGCCTTTTGTAGTTTTCATATATGTTCTTATTAACCTTTTCGCTTTTTTAATATGATTTTATTGCTGCTTGTTATTATTACTTATAAATTTACTTATTATGCATGGTTAGACATAATTAGACTGAAAACCTTTGGTTAGACTGAACACCTTGTAATAAATATCGTATATCGCTTATAAATCGCTCGTAATTCGCTCGTAAATCGCTATGAACTCCTTCGTATAAACAACAATAAAACAATATATTTTACTCGAAGACAATACAAAATTACAATAACAAAGCAATTACGTACATGATTGACAGTTAATACAGTGAACCTATTTATAGCTAATTATAGCATAATGTCTCTGTCTGATAATGTAACGATATATTAAAATGTTAATTTCTCTGTTCATAACACTCCCCAGGGTTGAGCCGTACACAGTGCTCAACAATACTCCCCAGAATAATCGTAACTAGAAATATGAAAGTTTCACGAACTACAGTCTGTCTAACTGTTCGCATAATCGGTTTCTCAAATAATTAATTAACGGATAATGTTTATGTCTTCCTTTGAAACTCTTTCATCTGTTCCAGTCTTCGCAATTCACCCACTACATATTCTCCTTGCATATTCTCCGTGTTCCTAGCAGTTCGTTTAACTTCAAGTTCGTTGACAAACCTTAACACGTACGCTGTTACACGCAACAGCTTAGCGAAGCTGCTGAAACGGTCACAATTTATGATGTCGTTCAGATTCAATTCAGCTGATTCTTCTTCTTTCGTACTGACGAGTGAATGAATAACCGTCTGCGGTTTCTTAACGGTTTCGTTCAAAGCTGTGTCATCCAGGGCGCTCGCTGCTGGATCCTTCGGCCACTCGCACTGAGGCTTGTAAAGATACTCTGGTCCACTCCACCTGGTCCAATGGTAGCTGATCCATTATAGACCACTCGCAACTTTGTAGTCGATTTGTCTTTCCTTACTACACCGTGATGTGGAAGATAATGCACGTTGTTTTCGTTCTCTTTGTTGTCGTCGCTTTGATAAGGCACTCGCTCGATTACTCCCGATATTAATTGTTCCTGAATTCCTTTGTCATATTCTCGAAGAGGCTCAGGTTGTCTTGTTAACTTCTGATGCAACGACCGTAACCGATTGTAGCAAAGTTCGTAGTCGACTGCGACCTCAGGATTGTCCTCTTTCCTAGGTAGGCGAACTTCGTACCGTTCTGCTGTAAATCGAATATCACGAATGAAGTTGACATCATCGTTTGGTTCAGCTTGATAATTGTCTACTCCTATGGACTCTGTTTCCCAAAAACGCTTTAGTGAATTGACAATCTTGTCCTCGTTCGTTGGCGCGGTGAAGTATCTTGATGTGTCCAATGATTCACCAGTTAGGGTGAGATTTGAAACAGTTGGATCTTCGTGTTCAGCAGATTTTGGTACTCGACCGGATAACAACCATCCAAGCTTGCTGCTGACCGCTGTAGGACCACTTTCACCTTTGACAACATCACCTGTGACAATGTCCCAATAATGGTCTGCGCCAATTAGGATATCGATGCTGTTACTTTCCTTATCGTCGCCGCCAAAGTCTGCAAGTTCCAGCCCTTCCAGATGTACGTAATTCGTGTTGACTTTCGAGTTCAGTGGAGAACATATTATAGGGAAATTAATTGCTGTAACTTCTACCTCTTCACTTCCGTTTTGGTTCTCGATATTGAATTTGTAGATTTCGCAGTTTTGGCGCTTGCATTTATTGTCCCCAAATGTGTTCAAATACAGTGTTTCCTTTCTAAGTGGTTCCAACTTTAATTTCGCTTGAGTTGAATTCGTAATATAAGAGCGCTGGCTCCCTGTGTCAAACAATACGCGTACGGGAACTGATCTTACACCGTTCGTTGCCTTTGCTCTAGCTGTTTGAAGTAAAACAGTACCCTTACAGATTTTTGTGGCTGTTGTTGTAGATTCCTCATTTTTCGCCTGTTCGGTTGACTTCGCGCTTTCGACTTTCTGATTTCGTGAACATATCGATTGGTGGTGCCTGCCCTGGCAGTGGCGGCACTTTCTTGCATTGTTACAGTCTTTCGCGTTGTGTCCTTTCCATAAACAATTGAAACAACGTCCTGATTCACTAAGAACTTTCTTTCGAGCTTCACAAGGAACAATCTTTTCGCATGATGCTGAATAATGGCGACCACTACAGTAAACGCATTGGATTTT